TTTCATGTGTTATGAGAATAGCTACTCCTGCTCTCTTTTGTTTTACATTGCCTGGAAAGTCTCTCTCCAGCCTCTATTTTGAGCTTTAGGTGTCATTTTCAGTGATATGAGTTTCCTGAAGGCAGCAGAAGAGGAGATCATGCTTCTTTATCCTGTTTGCCACTCTATGCCTTTTGAGTGGTGTATTCAGTTTGTTAATGTTTAAATTAATTATTTACAAGTGGGGGTTTGTTCCTGTCATATTGCTAACTGCTTTGCTTTTTAGTTTTTGTGGTTGATTCAAATGGTCTGTAAACTCTGTACTTGCCAGTGCTTTTGTGATGGGTGGAACTGTTCTTTCGTTTCTGTGCTTTAAATTTTCTGAAGGACTGTTCTGGATGTGGCATATGCTCATAGGGATTGGATGTCTGGGAAGGATTTTAATTATCCTTCATTAATAAAGCTTAGCTTGATGGGGTAGAAAATTCTTGGCTGGAATTACTTTTCTTTGAGGTTGTTAAGGATGAAACCCCAGTCCCTTCTGACTTGCAGGGTTTTTGCTAAGAAATCTGCTGCAGTTCTGATGGGTCTTCCATGGTAGGTTGTTTGTCCCTTCTCTCTAGCTGCCTTTAGAAATTTTTTCTTTCATGCTCACTTTGTGGAGATGATTTATTATGTGCCTTGGGGGTGATCTCTTCATGTATTATATTATAGGAGTCCTCTGAATCTCTTGTGTCTTCATGGTTACCTCTCTAGTGAGATAGGGAAAATTTTCTTGGATGATGTTGTAGAAGACAATCCAGGGTGTTCTCAGTTTTCCCTTCTCTCTCAGAAGTGCCAATCAACCATTGATTTGATCTCTTTACATAATCCCAAATCTCTCGTAGGCTTCCATCATTCTTCCTAAGCTTTTTTCTCCTTGTTTTGTCAGCCTGAGTTAGTTCAGTAGTTTAATCCTCAAGCTCTAAGATTCTTTCCTCTGCCTGGTTGATGCTGTTGTTGGAGCTTGCTATTGTGTTTTGACTGGAAAGAATTCTTCATTTCCAGAAGTTCAGATTGGTTCTTCCTTACAATGGCCAGCTCAGCTTTCATTTTCTGCATTGTTTTCTTGGGTGGATAATCTGTGCGTCCCCTTCCCGTGGATCTTGTTGAGTGTCTTTGCCATCCATAGTCTGAGTTCTGTGACCATCATCAAGGACAGATCATTCTGGATGGGTTCCATTGCTTGGAATCTGAGAAGCCCTTTTGTGGGTGTTTTTCACTGGTTTGGGAATTGTTGGTGTTTTTCACTGGTTCTTCCTCATCTGTGAGGGTAGACTCTTCTCCTTTCATTTTTTGTTTTGTATTGTTTTGTTTTCTTTTCTTTTGTTTGAGTTGGAGTCTCACTCTGTTGCCCAGGTTGAAGTGTAGTGGCACGCTTATGGCCACTGCAGCCTCGACCTACTGGACTCAGGTGATCCTTCTGCCTCAGTCTTTCAAGTAGCTGGAACTACAGGCCTGCACCACAATGCCAGGTTAATTTTTTGATTTATTGCAGAGATTAGGTCTCACCAAGTTGCCCAGGCTGGTCTCAAACCCGTGAGCTCAGGCAATCCTCTCACCTCAGCCTCCCAAAGTACTGGGATTATAGGCATGAGTCACTGTGCCTGGCATTGTTTTATTTGGTGTTTTTTTTTTTAATTAGATAAGGTTGCTATGACTGGGGAGTGGCCATTTGCATGTTTTGTCGGTTTGTTTTTGTTTGGGGTTTTTTGTTTTTTGTTTTGGGGTTTTTTTTGCCTGTCCTCCCTCCTTTGGTAACCATGGCAGCTCCTGAGAGCAAGCCACTTCTGTAGCCCTGACCTAGGGCTACAACAGCCGCCAGTGCCTGGAGAAACTTCTCTGAATTGATCGTGACACCCCTGTTGGGTGCTGGGGAAGGAGAGAAGGGAGACCACCTTCACAAAGTGTCTCCTACTGAGACTATCCGTGGGAGAGGTGGAGTTGGTGACTGTGGTGCTGAACTGAGGTTCCCCAGGCTCCATGTGAGACCTGCCGGTGCCTCTGTCTCAATTTAGAGCAGCCCTATGTGGCCAGCCAGTGGAGGTAAGTGGGTGTGCGGTAGTTCCTGGGCTGCCTCCTTTGGCTGAGACTGCAGAGGTTTGCATGAGGTATGCAGAGAAGAAAATCTGTCATTTTCACTTATCCCTTTTGTCTCCAAAGGCACTCTCCTGTTCTCCTGTGGTACCATTTCTACAGATGTTTGGATTTCCCTATCTTCGTGTCAACTGATTTATACCTTAATTACGTCTGAAAAATGCCTTCATTGAAACACCTAGGTGAGTGTTTGGGAGTTATATGTATACTAGAGCAGGAAATTTGGGGGTATCATCTTAGAATTTTTCCAACTACATTGACTTTCAATTTTGAAATGTGCCTTAGATTCTAGACCTAAGTTCTCAACTGGAATGGGAGAAGATTTTGATACCTCTCTCCAGGAGACGTTGGGCAATATCTGAAGAGATTTTTGAATGTCACCTAGTGTGTAGAGACCAAAGTTACTGCTAACTCACCTACTATGTATAGGAGAGTCCCCACAACAAAGAATTATTCAGCCCAAGATGTCAATAGTGGCAGAGTTGGGAAGACCTGCCTTAAACAAAGTATGGAAGACAATTATTATTCTAGTACAGAGTTATAATTATCCATATCAGGTATGTAAATATGAAGATATAGCTGATGTGACACAAGATGAGAAAAGAGGAGGAATAGGAAAGAAGTATGGGGTATTATCTACATTTACATAAAGACTAAGCACTAGGATGAGAAGGGAGAAGGGAAGTAGGGAGTAAAATGGAGGCAATAGATATTGCCTAAATATTGTCTAAAATTGATAAACAAACAAAAAAATACTTTAAGAATTTTATTTGAAATTCCTCCTATGTAGGCCAGACGTCTCAAACTATCCTCAAATGATCCTCCTGCCTTGGCCCCCCAAAACTGGGATTATGGGTATGAGCCACCATACCTGGCCAGAATTTATACTTTTAAAAGATTAAGAGAAATTGCCTCAAGGAAGGAGATCTGGGAATAGGGAAAATAGAATGGGAAGACGTCATTTTTATTATACATTCTGCTGTATGTTTGTTTTTTTAAGAAACCTCATACCTGTCTTACTTCAATAGAAATGTAATTTTTTAAAAAAATTTAGGGGATTAACCTGGGTGATTTACTCATAATACAGTAACTCATAGTATAGTAACAGTATTTATGCACAGTACAATAATAGTACAAAGCACTGTAACGGCGATACAGTAATGTTTTACTAAGCACATGTGACGGCCCATAAAATGGAATTTCTTTAAGAATTTGGTTTCCCAGGCACACTATCTTCAGACAAAGTTTCAATTATTTGCATTGCAGAAAAATTTTTTTAGAAATATGTCACATAAACCCAGTGTCATTTATCCAGCAATTGTGTAGAATTGTGACTCTGGACTAGAAGAGAGACAAAATTGAAAACAACTCAAGTTATTGACTGAAAGAATTAGAGACCAATGTTTTTGTTTTTAATCTTAATTTTTTATTAATGTTTGTTGTTATGATTAACTTTAAAACTTGTGATTTATTTTTAAATTACATTCATATTATTATAATAAATATAAAAGGAACCTCAGGTTTTCTCATTTGTAAAGTGGAAATATCAATACAAAACTTTCAGGATTGTTGATGAAAATAAATAAATCACAGGCTAAATTAGTGTTAATGAGGGGTAACAGGCAAAGGTCAGTTTTGATGTTTTAACCTACATCAGACTCCACACTTCTGTGTGTCCCATTATCACATTTAGGTCACTTTTATGACACCACTGCCTGGCACAAGTCAGAAAGAAAGGTCCAGGATACCTGATATCCAGTAAAGTGACTCCTGGTCTCTACTAACTGGTTATTAACATTGGACTCATACTAATATATATGTGGACAAAAAGGAGACCAAAAGAAGAGTGACCCAGTGGGAAACAACCTCAACATGTGGAAAAGGTGGATTAGGAATTAAAAGTCATAGACTCCTTGTTCAGGCAGAGTACGAAATGACCCACATGGACCAAACTTTGTTCCCCTAGCTAGTGCTGCTCCAAAAACTGACTTGGAGAGGCAAAATGTCCTGGGGAGTAAAACAGACTTTATTTTCCATTATCAGAATTTATCGGTTCAAACAATAGTAGCTACTCAAACTAGATGTTTTAAAGTGATATTCAACTTAAAGTTTTCTATTTAGAAAATAAAACTCTAATGTTCATGAACTCTAAATGATACAATGAGAGGTATACAAATCCACACAGGAAATTCCTACCAAAAATGTTAAACTTGATTGATCTTAAGAAAACAATCAGACAAAACCAGAATGTGAAAGAGATTCTGGCCTCAGGACTTTCTTAGATTAAAATATAACGGTGGTTTTTCTTTTTGAGAGGTCTTTCTGCCATGATTCTTTCTTTATCCTTCTCTTCTTCTCACTAATAAACTGTTTTAAAACTTTAAAAAAAGAAATATAACAATTAATTACTGAATTTTAAAAACTGATTAATTACTAGATTAAAAAAGAATATAAAATGCCCTAGAAATCATTGAGGAAACTTGAATATGGACTATATATCAGATGAAATTTTTAATTTTTTAAGTATAAAACTGACAATGTGATTATGTAGGAAAATGTGTTAATTCTTAGAGGTTGCCAAGTTATAGCACCAAAAAGAAATTAGGGGTGAAGTGTCATGATGTTTGCAACTTACTTTTAAATGGTTTAGCAAAAAGTTATATAATGTATATATAAAATAGTTTATAGATAAAAATACAAAGACGAGAGAAAGAAAGCAAATCTGGCAAAATATTAACAATGATTAAGCTAGGTGAGAGATATACATATGTTCATTATACCATTCTTTTAACTTCTTTGTAGGCTTGGGAAACTATAATAAAAAAAGCCTGGAGAAATTCTATCTATATGCTCCCCTTAAAATATTATGTAAAGATAAGTATTACCTTTTCATTTCATTTTTAGTTAATTTTATGATTGACTATATTTGCATGCTGTACAATTGTTTATTTTTAAAAAACTAATATTTTGTTTTGCCCCATAGCCTGCTAATAAGGAAAATTCAGGTGATAAATTTATAACTAACCATGGCCAAGTTCACTTGAGGAATTCTCTTTGTAGATTCATTTGTAAACTCTCTAATAAGGTGTTTTATAGCCATATGTCTCATGTTTCCCCTGATGTTCCCTTTTACTGTTCCTTTTGCCGTGGTGTTTCTTCTTGTGGCAAATGTTGCCTTTACCATTTTTCTTGGCAGCTTGTGCTTTCATCCACTGCTTAACAGTATGGTTATGCGGGCTGACACAGATTCTTCTGCGCTTGATATGAAGACTGTGAAGAATAGAAGAAAAAAATCACTAATAGAAAATATAAATGGATAGCAACTTAGTACCTATAGGCAGTTCTCACTTTTGGACACCGTATTCGTAGGGACTGAATTCTAAAGCTGAGCACCACTAAGTTTGATCTTGACTTTACATACACTGCTGCCTGTGAGACCTCAGATATTAGCAGAAAGTATTAAAAGAAGGACGAGGAGGAGAAAAGGGAGAAAAAGAAGAGGAGGAGGAGAAAGAAAGAACTAGATGAGGAGGAAGAGAAAAGGGAAAAGGCAGAGGAGGAAGAGGAGGAGGAGAAAAAGGAAACAAAAATAAAAACCAGAGGAGAAAATTATCTTCCCTGACCCCAAGCTTCACTCAACAAAACCAATTTATCCTCCCTGCCCATCTTTTTTTTTTTTTTTTTTTTTGAGTTGGAGTCTCACTCTGTCGCCCAGACTGGAGTGCAGTGGCCGCTCCCGGCCACCGCAGCCTCGCCTGCTGGGCTCCGGCGATCCTTCCGCCTCAGCCTTCCAAGTAGCCGGAATTACAGGCACGCGCTACCACACCCGGCTGATTTTTTGATTTATTGTAGAGATGAGGTCTCGCCTGCCCAGGCGGGTCTCGAACCCGCGGGCTCAGGCAATCCACTCACCTCAGCCTCCCAAAGGCGCGGGATTACAGGCTGAGCCACCGAGCCTGGCCCTGCCCATCTTAAACACATCCCTTTCCATAAGATATTTCTATATCCTGTCAGCTTATGCCCTTCTTTCTTCCCTTTGGGTATCCATGGTGAGTTATCTCTCTTTAGGCACTTAGTCTACTATCTTTTATTGGAGTACTTGTTTTCATCTCTCCTACTGGAGTTATGCTCTTTGAGGGAGGAACAGTCTAGAAGTGTCTTGCAAAGGCCTGTTTATAGGAGGAACTCAGCAATTAATTGTAGATATGCAGTGGAAATTGTTCAAAATAAAGACAGTCAAGTTTTCAACAAAACAAATTAAAATATTTTTGGCATTTAACTTTTTAATATAATATAGATCTATACCACAGCTCAGAATTTGTGGTCATTTTCATATTTCTGTATTAAGTTTTCACAATGGGTTGAGAGAACCCTAGGGTCACATTGACAGTTTCTGATAACTAGAAGAATTTCTTGTTACAAAAGATATTTTAACTTTGAATTCCCCATCAGTAACCATCAGCTCCTATCAAACATCACAGATTCCACTGACTCTACATACACAAAATTTCTGTGTCTGGAGAAATTGAAATTCCTGACCTTGTTATTCAGGAAAAACACACACACACACGGGGAAAACGGGGATAGAGAGTAGGCTGCCATTTTTAAAAGATGACCCAAGTGAAATCATTATCAGTTAATGTGGGAACTCTTGAAATAGAGGGAAAGTGAGGAAAGGTATAAATGATCTTTAGCATAATAAAGCCAGAATGTGGGGTAATAATAACTTGAAAAAGTGTTTCCTCTTAATAAATATATTAGATTGAGAGGTCTTTCTTCAAAAGAAAAGCTAGGTCTTACTATGGCCAGTTGGTTTGCTATTATAGGAAAAAATCTGGATATAGCACTGCATCAAGGAAAAACAGAAAACTGGAGTTGAAGCTCCTATCCTCTCCAAAGGACTAAAACTCTCTCCTGTCACTGTGGCATCAGCAAGAACCCGGGCAGATAAAGATTTCAGTAGCATGCAGATAAGCTCACAGGTTGCACAGAAAATAATTAGGACTCCACTCTTATTAAAATGATAAGTGTGATGAGCTTCGGGGAGGGGCATTGGCACTAAGGCTGAAGGAGAGAACTGGATGGAGGAAATATAAACAGAGGATCCAGAGAGGTGGAGGGCCACAGGACAAGAGGCAACAACCACCAAGTGGGATGCTTTTCAAAGGGACTACTGCAGAGGCCTCAACTTCTCAGTGTAGTTTAAAGGAAAAAAAAATTATCTAATACCAGAACATAGCTCCCAAATCTGAGATGCTATGATGTTTTAGAATCCTAAAGTTTAGAAACTACTTAAACCTCTACTTGTAAAAAAAAAAATCAGCCAGGCTCGGTGGCTCAGCCTGTAATCCCGCGCCTTTGGGAGGCTGAGGTGAGTGGATTGCCTGAGCCCGCGGGTTCGAGACCCGCCTGGGCAGCGAGACCTCATCTCTACAATAAATAAAATATCAGCCGGGCGTGGTAGTGCATGCCTGTAATTCCGGCTACTTGGAAGGCTGAGGCGGAAGGATCGCCGGAGCCCAGCAGGTCAAGGCTGCGGTGGCCGGGAGTGGCCACTGCACTCCAGTCTGGGCGACGGAGTGAGACTCCAACTCAAAAAAAAAAATCAAAAAAAAAAACTACTTGTATCTCATGTGAATTTCATCAGAATAAAAAGAGATGATGTAATGTTGGGAAAGAAGTTACCCTAATCCACACTTCTTCCATAGCATTCCCAACTCCATATAGCTTTCTGATGGGCACCAACCAGTTCCCCCAAAGTTTTGACTCTAGGAGATCATGAGGCTGATATCCTGATTGTGTGTGTGTGTGTGTGTGTGTGTGTGTGTGTGTGTGTATGATTCCCATAGGAGGGTAGCTGAAGACAATCCAATGGATATAAAGGGGTATCCCTGTCATAGAGATTATACCTTCAATCTTCTCTAAACTTTATTTCTTTACTCATTCCTCTAAACACAGGTCCTTCATCACCACGTCTAAAAAACCACTCAAGTCTTCCAGATAGGTTTATTTTAAAAACTCAAATTTTCTTCTCAGATAATTTCTGTATGATTCAAGAAAACTTCAGCCTCTTCCCGAGATAAGCAAACATTCAATGTATTTATGCTTAGAAACATTCAGAAGCTCATTAATGAAGTCACTGTAGAGGAATTTAAACAAGAGAACTGCTGTCTCAGCCATCAAAAATTACAATAATCATTTATAGGATGTGAAACAAAGGACTTATTTATAGGCAGAAAAGAAAAAGAAACCTAGTGAATTCACTGTAAATTAACTTATATTAGTTGTTATTGGTTACATGCTACTTAGGAATTATATTTTCCATGCTAGCAATGTTTTCTATACCTTAAACACTTTTCTCAAACCTTAATGTCTTTATACCTAATCAGGGATAAAGGACGACATTTTGGATGAAGACATGCTCTGTAGTAAAACAATTTGAAAACAAGAGAATCTTTATTTATGTTGAATGTCGGGAAACATAACAGAGAGGATATGTAATTTATGGTTAAAAAATGCTACAGAGTCAAATTTTATTTGCTATCAGGTCAAATAAATCTTATCAGCACAGAGAGGTCAGTTTACAAAGTTGTGCTTGAATAAAGTAAATCTTTTTTAGATACAAGCAATTGTTTTCATCTTTTTTAAAAATTAAAATTGAGACTTTTTAAAAATGAAAACTCATGCTTTTAACTATATTTTCCTTCAGCAAAGTGAGACATCATTTCTGTTTGTATGCCTTTCAGATCTCTATCTGACACCTGCTTATCCCAAATAAACTTCTCTGGAAATCCTGTTACCAACAGTGTCTCCTGAAAACCCCCTGAATCTGTCTCTCACCCTTATACACCCACAGAAACTTCCTCTGTTTTTTTCCCCGAGTCCCATGGGAGCTCTTACAAGCTTCAATCCTTCTTTAGTCCAAGGTAGCATATGCCAATAAGGTGGAAGGAATTAAGAGGAGTTGAAAATGTGGTATTTCTGAGAACAGCCAGAGTAGCCTCAGTCAGATTTACTTCAGCTGTGTCCACCTGACACGAATATCCAGATGTTTCTAATTACCTACAACATTGTCTATCCAGGAGTTGTCTATGAATTTTTCACTCTCTAACCATTACCAACAGTGTTCGTTAAGATTACATAAAACACTGGTCGATTCTCAGCCAAGCATATACTATTTCCAATAAGTTGGGAACTTGAAGCACTCCTCAGAAGGAACCTCATTAGTATGTATTCTCTGTATTAGCACAGGTTACACTGGTTCCCAATGACTAATCCGCTGGAGCTGGTGGATCCAGGTAGTGGTTGGAACTGAGAGAGTTCTGACAGATTTCTCTCTTTTTTTTTTTTTTGGAGTGCAGTAGAAGCGAGACTTTAATGATGGCCTTGCAAGATCGGCTGTTTGGTGGGCAGGTACTGACAGATTTCTCACAGACTGTCTCCCTTCTCCCACAGAGACAGTCATGCTTATTAAAAGTTTGGACCAAAAATTATCTCCTCACAAACATCTGAATCTGAGTGTGGCTTTTAAACTTTATAGATCCTTTCTCAGATCCTTTTGAGAATCTTATAAAACCTGTGGACCTGCTACCTCACAAACGTGCTCACACATTCATACACAAAAATTTCAGGTAGTAGCCGGGCTCGGTGGCTCAGCCTGTAATCCTGCGCCTTTGGGAGGCTGAGGTGAGTGGATTGCCTGAGTCCGCGAGTTCGAGACCCGCCTGGGCAGAGAGACCTCATCTCTACAGTAAATAAAACAAATGAGCCAGGCGTGGTAGCATGCGCCTGTAGTTCCAGTTACTTGAAAGGCTGAGGCGGAAGGATTGCCGGAGCCCAGCAGGTTGAGGCTGCGGTGGCCGGGAGCGGCCACTGCACTCCAGTCTGGGCAATAGTGAGACTCCAACTCAAACAAACAAACAAACAAAAAATTTCAGGGAGTTCACAGCCCCCATTCTGAAGAAAGTCTATTAATGGATATCTTACAAACTCTTCCTCTGAATTTTTAAGAATCCTTTCTTGAAGCCGTGCTGCTCAAAGTCGAGTGATGGATAGATCCCTCTGAAAGGGATAAGAAATGTATCTCAAATCCCAAAGATCATCTCAAATCATCAGAGATGATCTGCAGAACTCAGCTTATAAAGAGTATCCTGGAGACTCTAGGCAGGTAAAGACCATTCTGTCACTTGCTGCATCCCCAGCATGTAGAGCAGTTCTTGGTACGTAATCATTGGTCCATAAATATTTGCTGAATTAGTTGAATGAATAGGAGGTTCCTGAAGGAAACAGGAGCTCAGACATAAGCAATGGGCTTATTTATAGCCCAAAGAAAGGAGCACCAAATGGCTATCTAGCATTACCTGGAACCATAAGTGGTGTTTCAACCAGAGTGCCAACCGGGCAGGGTAGCTCACGCCTGTTATCCCAACACTTTGGGAGGCAGAGGCAAGAGGATTACCTGAGCCTACAAGTTCGAGATCAGCCTGGGCAGCTCAGCAAGCCCTCATCTCTACAATTAATCAAAAAATTAGTGGGCATAATGGTGCCGACTGTAGTTCCAGCTTCTTGGAAGGCTGAGAAGGAAAAATTGCCTGAGCCCAGCAGGTCAAGGCTGTGGTAGCTATGAGCATGCCCCTGCACTCCAGCCTGGGCAACAGAGTGAGACTCCGACTCAGGGAAGAACAAACAAAACCAGCATGCCAGAGAGATGCCTGACACCTGAATGCAGTGGAATTTGGGGAGAGCATTTCATGAGTAGCCCCGCCTACCCATGTGAATGACCTTGGAGGTATAGAGTGTTTTGAACAAAGAGATCTGAGTTCACATTCCATTTCTGCCATTCACCAGCTGTATGACACCAGGTGAAGTGTGTAAGCTGTCACTGCTTTCTTCTGGGTGTGACAGGGATATGTTTATGCCTTTCTCATAGCATTGTTGTTAGAACCCAGATTTGCTAAATATCATACAGTTCAGATTTTAAAGCCTCTACAGTGATAGTAAGTACATGTAAATATAAAAACTTTTAACAGTTAAGCCAGGACGAGGGTGGGGAGGGTTCACCATGAGCCAACACTCCAGAATCAAAAGCAGAGAAGGGCATTTGTGATTGGACTGCAGGTAGCACTTGTGACAGGTATAGAAATTTCTACTCTCCTTTTTGAACTGTGAAACATGCTCCTGATGAATTCCAAAAGTAAAAATAACAGCAAGCCATAGGTAAAGTTACTGTTAAAGACATGAAATATACCAGAGTCACTTTCTGTTTGGGGTTTTGTTTCACTTAGGAAAGTCATGAACACTTTCTGGTGATTGAGGCAGGTAGCCCTAACCACAGCACTGTAGTCGGCGAGCTGGAGGGCTGGTGTGGGGCTCAGGACATCCCTGCACAGAGAGATTGTGCATGTCCACCAGAAAGTCTGGGGTCCAAAGACAGGATATTTACTCTTCCCTCCCTTGTTTGGATGACTATTTGTATGCTAAGTGTCAAGCATAGCCTTTCCATTCTATTGTTTATTGGCTGGGGAAATAATCACTGTAGAGATTTAGGCCTCTCTGCCAAAGAGCACTCACATGACAGCAGCCAAGTCACAATCCCCATCAACTCTCTGGATGCGACATGTATTCACTCTTTCCAGAAGTCTTCGGGAAATATGATGTGAAACCTCGGTGCAACAGCTGGAGGCAATGGGAAGTATGGCTATAAGAAGAAAGGAAACGTTAAATCATACAGTTTATAGAACACTGGCATGGATCTCATTTTAAAGGTTCCAGAGAAGCAGAATGTGAATTCACTCAGGCAAGGGGCAAGCACTCACTGAGGGCTTTGGAAATACAGATCTGCAGCAGGACATGGTTCTGCCTTCTGGAATTTAAACTATATTTGTGGGAGATTAAATGTAAATTTAGGCAAAGACACACAAAAAGTGAAAGAGATGAAAAAAGCTGTAGACAATGCTGCCAGTGGGGTTGCAGACAGATCAAAGATGAAAGGAGTGAGGTCCACAGAGTGTCCCACGCAGTTTGGAAGAGAGCAGCCACATGGCCCCAGGACAGGTTTGAAAATTTCCCAGCAGGGAAGGACTCAGCTGAATCATGAAGGATTTAGATAGGCGGCCAGACTAAGGAAAGTGCATGGCACATTTAGGGTATAGAGAAAAACAGATCACCTTGTCAGAATTTAGTAGCTAGGAGAGTGAGTGATAGGAAATGCAATTCAAAAGATAGACTGAGATCAAAATCCTGAAGTCTTGAATGTCAGTCTAAAGAGCTTTAGCTTTTATGAAACGGGACTACTAAAGACTTGAGAGAGAAGAAGGGTTTTAGAAAAATTTATCTTGCGGTAGTAAGCAAGATGGATTAAAATGAGGAGTGGCTGAGGCAGGAAGTCGAGTTAGGATGAGCATTATGTTAAGGAAATAAGGGCAACACAAATATGAAAGGGAATTCAATCTCTGCACAAAAGTACTTATCTGCAAATTCCTATGTGCCACATGCCCTCATATTCTAGTAGGTTGATGCATTAGGTTTGTAGTATTTGTTTTTGGCATGGTAACACTGCAGTGTTGGAAGTTTGTTTATGGTTTGTCTTTTGGAGTGGCAATGTTGTGTTTGTGAATACGCCTTGTATTTTGCAGATTTGAAGAAAGTGCTATCTGTGGGCTAAAAAAGATGGAGTGTCAAGTGTAAAAAAGCAAACACTTCTGGCACATTCTCTTGTTTGATTTTAATAGGGGAGTTAGGGCAGCTCAAAACATTGGTGTCGTATCTGGAGAGAATGCCATTGGGGAAAGAATGGCAAGAAAACCATTTTGCCATTTCAAAGAGGGCCACTTTGACCTGAGTGATTCTATGCATTCAGGAAGACCATTGGGCTGTGATGAAGATTGTTTAAATGCTTTAATCCATGATGGTCCATGTAACTCAAACCAAGAATTGGCAAATGCGATGAACTGTGACCAATCCATCATCATGCCATGTATGCATTTTATGGGCAGGTGAAAAATGTTATGGACTTATGCATCAACCTAATACTGTACTTCCCATTCCACCAAATTAGTAGTGACCACACAAACAAACAAAAAACCTAACAAACAGAAATTACAGCCAACAGTGGCTACAGGTGGAGGGGTTAATCATAATAACAAATGGAAGCTTGTCCTTGTTCTAAAGGTTAAGAGAAACGGTTAGCCCCTCTATATGCCAGCTGTAAGGAATAAAAGTACCTGTGCATGGACTACGGGAAGATCTTTGTGTCCATGCCTTGCCCACATGGAAACATCAGGCCTGCTCACAACTTTGGAATAGATAAAGAGCAGAATATGAAACTGAAAATATCTATTGATTCATTCTGGGCATCAAAATTTTCTGTTACCATCCGTTCACTTACTCATCAGTTATTTGACAAACATTTATTGAGCAGTTAAAATGTTTCAGGCACAGTGCTAGTCACAATTTTTTTTAAAAAAACAACACGTTCCTGTCCTCAAGGAGTTGTAGAGGAGACAGATTTGCAACTAAATGCTTAAGATATAAAACCCTGTTGGTCCACTATAATTGTACTTGTGGAATTCTGTATTTCGAAGAGCCACAAATTACGAGGATGAGTGCACAGCTATTTACTACAGCAAAACATTAGAGACCATTTAAATGCCTTAAATCAAAATAAGTCAAAAACTGTCACAAGAGACGAAGGTCATTACATACTGAGAAAAGAGTCGATTCAACAGGAAGATATATTACAAATATATATGCACCCAACATCAGAGTACCTAAATATATAAAGCAAACACTGGCAGATCTGAAGGGAGAAACAGATAGTAACACAAGTGCTGTCTCTTAAACACCAGTCACCTCAGTCTTCTTCAGTACTCTGCTTTCAATGATGGTTAGAACATCCAGACAGAAAATCATTAAGAAAACAACATACTTGAACAACACTATAGACCAAATGAACCTAAAACATTTACCCAGAACATTTCACCCAACAGCAGCAGAATATATGCTCTTTTCAAAAATATACACTGTTTCTATAAACATTCTCCAGGATAGATCATATGTTAGGCCACAAAAAAGTCTGAAATTTAGGATGATTGAAGTTATTCCAGACATCATCTATGACCAAAATGGAATAAAAATTAAAAGCAATCGTGAAAGAAAAATGGGAAAACTCAAATATGTGGATATTAAACATATTCTGAAACAATAACTGAGTCAAAGAAAAAAATCAAAAGGGAAATTAGAAAATGTTGTTAGACAAATGAAAACAAAAATACACCATATCAAAATGTATAGGGTGCAGCAGAAGCAGTACACATGTCTGCACACATGCATATAGAGGAGAAGACATGGAAACATATACACCCAAATTTATAAGCAATGATCACTTCCAGAGAGGGGGTAAAATTTCAATTAGCATAAAATACTTGTAATATTTTAAGCCTCTAACATTTCTTGGAAAGATAGTGCTATGGAAATCCAAACCAGAAACACATAAGATAGGGAAATTAACTTCACTTAGGAAAGAAGGATAGGCATCAGAATACTTGAAATTTGAACTCAATTTTAATTTTAATTTTTTTTTTTTTAAGAGAAGGGTCTCACTCTGTCCCCCAGACTAGAATGCAATGTCCCAATCATAACTCACTGAAACCTTGAACTCTTAGGCTCTAGTAATCTTTTCACTGGGTAGCTAGGACTACAGGCATGCACCACCACCGTCAGCTAATTTTTAAGAACATTTTCATAGAGATGAGCTCTGGCTATGTTGCTCAGGCTGGTCTCAAGTTCATAACCTCAAGCGATCTTCCCACCTTGGCCTCCTAGAGTGCTGGGATAACAGGCATAAGCCATTGTACAAGGCCTGGATTCAGTTTTAAAGGAGAAGTCAGAACTTACCAGTCTGAGAAGAAAAGTGGATCATTCTATGCAGACGAAATTACATATTTAGAGCAATGGAGTAAAAGAGAACAAAATGCTTGTCTGGACTGTGTATCTCCCAGAATCTAAGGTCAAATCCATTGAACCTGGTGTCTTAGACAAGTCTAACCTGGCAAGAGTCTTGTCAACAGTGGTATAGGAAGCACTGGACTGACCTCAAGTCATCTCCAGTCCCAGGACACCAAGGAAATGCCTGACCCTGTTTCAGCTCCTCCAGGAGGATCCATGTAAAATAAACCTACTGAAAGAAAATCTTTCTCCTTCTCCTGCTCCATCTGCCCTGAATAGTCCAACACTCCACTTGGAACTGAATCTCAGCTGGAGGTATAGATCAGTAACAACCTAGCTTCAATCTAATATAATATTTTTTAATTCCCAGGAAAATAGAATATACATACAATTCCCAAATATATGTTAATTATATATCTACATTAATCAGTTTACAAAAAGTCTTTAATCACATCTAAACAATTCATTTTAGTTAATAGACGTAGAAATACACCCACACAAATACCATGAAGTGTTTACAGCTCTGTTCGGCCTCACCTCCAATTTAGATATATTGGAAATCTGCAGTAACTCAAATGAGGAAAATGTTTACATTTCCCGCTGCAAGCTATTTCATACCACAAGGATCTCTCTCTTTTCTCTCAATCTAGATCCAGTAAAGGGATTTCCTTTTGTCACACAGATGAGGAGTGTGTGTGGCGGTGTACCCAAGCACCAGTCAGAGAGATTTGCTAGGACTGGAAAAGTATCATTCATACAACAGACATTTATTGAAGCTCACTCTGTGACAGACCCTGAGTTCTGCATTTGAAATGCTGAAATAAACAAGGCATAGTCTCTGTTTTTGTGATGCTTAGTAGTCCAATGGGAAGTAGCAGGTAAACAAATAATGACAACACAGCAAAATATTTAAAATAGATATGTTTTAGAGTACCATGGGATTATAAATGAAAGAAACCAGATTTGAAAGGTCATATTGTATGATTCCCTTTATACGAAATATCCAGACTAGGCAAATCCATAGAGACAGAAAGTAGATTAGTGGTTACTAGGGGTCAGGAGTGTGGGAACAGAGGGAGGGACAAGATAAGAAGTAACTGCTAGCAAGTACAGGATCTGTTTCTGGAGTAATGAAGATGTGCTGGAATTAGATAGCAGTGATAGTTGCACAATTCTGTGAATATAGTGAAAACCACTTGTTGGGAGCCAGCCACGGAGGCCCACTGAGCATTAGGGATCAGGAAGGACCGTTGACCCGAGACCAATAGGATGCATTCGGGAGCTATTGACCCCATTTCCTCCCCCTTTCTACTCAGCACTAACCAGATTAAGCTCCTGTGAGCTCAAAACATAGAAACTCTGAGATTGGGATGAACACAAGCTAACTTTAGAAGCTCATTGCTCCCATTCTTCCACAAACTGCAGTTTTGTCTTTCACAAAACTTATAATTCAAACTCGTGTCACATCTAAGAGCCTTAGTATTGGTCACAGGCTTCTGGGTCATGATCTTAGGATTTATTGAAGGTGTAAATTGTAGAATACAGTTTTAGAAGACAGCCATTTTGTTGAAAGAATGCGGCTGGGTTACTTGCAGGTAGCCCACTGTGAACTTTAGACTGGGCCACATTCCAAACATTCAGGGATGGGCCACTTTCGTTTGTAAAGTAAATACTTAAGCTTCTATAGAATTGTTTAGCTTGGCATAAATCAATCAGCATAGGATGAAAAAGGTTTATAGAATATGTCAGTCA